AGGGATGCAATGATAAATAATGTACATCAATATGGAAAATGCCATGATAAAGAAACATAAATAGTGCCCCAGGGGGTACACCTAGCTATATCTGGAGGAGGAGGAGGAGAAGAAAGGCTGAGGAGACTGTGTTAACACTGATTCTTAAAGGATAAACAGGAGGGACTTACCAGGCAGGAAAACAGCAGTTACAAGACCCATTCTAGTAATTGCCCAAATGTCTAAGGAACAATCCAGGGCAGAGTTTCAAAAGGCAAAGACAAGAGTGTAATAAGCATAGGCAAAGAGCAGTTGGTGTGGTCAGAATGGAACTACTTTGCCCTGGCATTTGTTCTGCTCTTAAAGACTGAGCCTGACTGATAGGTGGAGGAGGGAAGTCATTCTGCTGGAAGAAGCTGAGAAGAAAGCAACAGATGTTACATGATTGGTCATCTTCTTTCTATTACATTCTCGTTCTAAAGATCTCATCTAGCCTTGTGGAATCAAAGAGCATTTTCAGTTGAGAAATGCTTAATGTAGACTTCCAGGACAGAATTCTCAACTGAGCTATGAAATTGGGCTTCCATTTGTTTTCTTGGTATCTCCACTTAGAAGTGGTATAGGCACATCAAGCATTGTTTGTTCAAACTTGAGCTCTTACCTTTGTTTTCCAAACCTTTCATCTCAGTGAAATCAACATCCAACCAGTTGCCCAAGGAGAACCCTAGGAATCATTCTCCTTAACCATGGAATCCCTTAAAGAACACCCTGCCCTCCAACTCACAAGCATATCTCAAATCTGAACACTTCACTGTCTCTGAGTCCAAGTGACTCTCTGTCTTCTTCTGTTTAGTTTTCTTGTTAACCCTTCTGCTATTAGTTTCTCTACTTAACTGTCGGAGTTGTTGTTTTTTTTTTTTTAGTGGAACTTGTACCTTCTCACCTCTTACTTTAAACTTGTTAATGACTTTTCTTTGTTTCAAAATACTAAATCCTCACCTAATTATCTAGTTCTCCTACAGTTGTCCAATATCACTTCTTGTCATAAGGCATCGTACCTCTCCAGTTGTGCTGGCCTCTTCTGGATTCCCAGCATATGAGTCATCTTTTCTAGTCAAATGCCCTTGGAGCCACAGCTTCCTGTTCTTGCACTGTCCCCTTTCCCCCTGCATGGCTTTCTCCTTCACATTTCCATCCAAATATCCCATTAAAATTACTGTCAATATGCCTTCTAAGAATTCTACCCCAATTCTTCTAAATAATCTTCTTGATTATTTCCTTTTTTGGAGCTAACACAACAGGTAATATCTTGTTTATTTACTTACCTGCTTATTGCCTCTTTCCTTTTCTAGGAAGTTCTGGTATCATAAAGCAGAAGCCTTATCTATTATTAAATACTGTATTCAATGTACATAGTACAGATATCTAGCTTCAAATATGTGCTCAGTAAATATTTGTTGAACAAATGAATGCCCAAGTCAATAGTCTGTAACTTGATAAATAAGTATTATTGGAATCAAATATACAGAGACACCAAGTAAAATACAAATTAAAAGATTATTCATCCAAGTGCCAGTGGCTCAGGCTTGTAATCCTAGCTACTCAGGAGGCTGAGATTTGAGGATCACAGTTCAAAGCCAGCCTGAGCAGGGCAGTGTGTGACTCTTATCTCCAATTAACCACCAAAAAGCTGGAAGCAGAGCTGTGACTTAAGTGGTAGAGTACTAGTCTTGAGCAAAAGAGCTCAAGGACAGCGCCCAGGCCCTGAGTTCAAGCCCCAGGTACAGCACACACACTGAGAAAAGATGGTTTATTTGACCCTTCAGAAGGCACTGATGAGAGCAATTAATCTTCCCTGGATTGTTACTAATATATTTGGGCATTTACCACATGTATAGAAATGTTCTGCTTTGCCTTATTCCCTGGTAAATTCCTCCTGTTGGGAAGGCAAAGATTGGAAATGCCATGGTGAGGAAATGAAAAACTGAAGAATAGCAAGCATTCTCAGTTGTTTGGGGAAAACAACAACAAAAATGAAGACTGTGGTATTATAGTCTGAGATATCTAAATAAAACCCTCCTAAGCTTCTTTTAGTAGGAGGGATGTGTGTTTAATTCTATGTGAAGAGAAGGAAGAGGCAAAGACAAAGAAGATGGAGGTAGAGGGATGGATTAAGGTTCTAGAGAAGAGGATTGTGGGCATGTGGACTGTAGTCCTGATGAGGCAGTGTCATCAACAGAAGGACTTTCTGCTCTGATGGGCAAGGGATCTTCTAGAGCTGCTATTTCCTGTGATAACATGAGGACGTAGAAGAAGACACAGAGCTGAACTTAACAAAAATGCTGTGGAATATCATTATGAAAAATTGAGAGACACAGACCAAAATTCATCAAGTGAATGTGGATTAATTTGAAGATTTGACTAAAGTCATAAATTTGATACCAGTTCCTACAATTGTGTCATCATTCAAATGGTTATTAAGTACACACAATGTTCTAGATATTTTAGTTTCTTTCAGAAGTGCCAAGATAAATAAACCACAATTTCAACAATCTAGTAGGAGAGAGGGAAAAATATATACTAATGATCAAAGCATTGGGATGAGCACCAAACTAGAATAGCATTATTCAACTGGATCCCAGAGGACAATGGATGAAGGGGTCAGTTCTAGTCACAGAGTCTATGTTATAATTCAAGATTCAGAGGGAGAACTGTTTCCAGTGATAAAGAGTCCTGAAGGAGAAGGCATTTCCCTGGAATGGAGGAAATATGGAACTGTGAGACTACCAGGGGCTGATATTGTCTAGAAAAAAGATAAAGATGCTATGATGGAAAAGGTTGAGGCTTGGATATTTGAATTCTTGATTAAGCCACTTTTGAGTGACCTGGAAATCCCCACATGCCCAGTGATAAGGATAGGTAAAGGGCAATCTATTCCATTAGTACACATGTGAAAAGTAGAAAGGATTAGACAGAAGGCTATAAATTTTAAATGCCAATTTGTAATGAAGAAAACGCTCAACCCATGACCTAGCTCCATGGCACATGTTACATGTCACATGAGAATGTGAAGACTTCACTTAAGAGAATGTCAGTGGAAAGAAAGTAGTGTTCTGAGAGTTGAAGGTATAAAGGATTTTACGTGGATGACAGAGGTTCCAGGGGAATAAGTAGAGAGCATTATGAAGGAGTAAAGTGAGAGCTAAGAAGAGGAAAGGAGAGAAAGAGGGATGCAGGAGGTAGAGGATAGATAAGGAAAAAGGAAAGGAAGGAGAGAGAGAGAGAGAGAGAGAGAGAGAGAGAGAGAGAGAGAGAGAGAGAGAGGGATTTATACAAGAGAGTTCATAGCATAGCAGCGGATGAGTTACCAGACAGCCAGAAAGAGAAATAATTGGTTATAAGATTTCCCAAAGCCCCCAGTTTAGCATACTTCTTAGAACTAGCGGTGTCAGAGATTTGAGGATGTTAGCACCCTGGGGTCAGTCTGCTTATGTCTAGGTATTATCTGCAAAAGGGCTACTGCCCTTTCTGAAAGGCCAGTAAGTAAACAGTGATTTGTTGCAACCTAGAGAAAAATACTCTAACTGAAACTAATTCCTTTTTAAAATATTTAGTTTTGAAGTCACTTTATTTTCCTCTGATAAGGACAGACATATTCACTGGAAGAAATAAAATAAAACAAGGTAATGCAGAAGTATAAAAACTGCTATAATTCTATAGAGACAAAGTAATTATTGTGAGCATTTCTCGATTTGGCATTTATGTTAGTACTCTGGATTATTCTTTTCTAGTCAGTCTTTACTCTCTTTCTCAATGTCTGTCTCTCTCTGTATGTCTCTGTTTCTGTTTCTCTCTATGGATATATATGTGTATATATATTTACATATACTTACATATATCATCTCTCCCCTCCCTAATTTATACCTCAGTCATCTCTGGGGTAGTTATCACTTTACATTGAGTCAATGATGTCACTAATGAGACAGCAGAACTTCTATGACTGTGGCCATGTTGCTTAGGATTGTTCCTTAGGAATCTTCTAAGAATCAGAGACCATATTTCTAGGTCACATCAGGAAAGCACTTAACTTTTCATATCCACTTCTCAGAAGAAGCACCATATGTGGAAGGAGAGGCTAATGAACCTAGCTGATCCCACAGTCACCATGCTGCCAGTCACTGGTCTAGTGTTCACCACTGGAGTCCATTGTAGCTTTTGCCAGCAAGATACAGTCTCTTGTACCAGATAGAACATGGAAGCCCAGACCTCTGTACAATAAGTATTAACTTCAACATTAACACAGCAAATTCCTGAAGTAGTTCCAGCCCCCTGAACATAGCACATGTATACTTTTGGTTTTCTAAATTTTACCTCTATTTCCAGAGAAGAGAAATAAACCAGGCATAGGAAGAAAATATGTTCGCTTTTGTGAACTTGATAAGCTTGACCTTTATTTTACCACATAAGTCAGGACCACTAAATACCACAACCTGATAATTTGTTCTTTCCCTCCTTCCTCCCACCCATCTCCTGCCACTTCCCCAGTAGCAAAACGTTTTCAACATCATGCTGTCCATTAGCATAAATAAGCCCATGCTTTTAGAGTAAAAATAGTTTTAATGCTATATTTGTTAAATACTGCATTACCATAAGAGCAGAAAAATATTCTTGAATAACGGGTAGATCACATGCTTTAGAAACAATAACATGCTTTTATTGTGGGTCCCTGGAAGTTGATTATTTTAGCCAACATTAAAACCTTGGGTCTTAGCACAAGCTGCATTTCCACTTCAGAAATTGTTAAACCACAAGATTTCTTGGGGCATATCATTTCAGGTTTTAAATTATTTTTCTCTTGCCAATATACTACAGGCAGTTTTAAGGAACAATAACAACAACAAAAAGTAGAAATGCCATTTAAATTCAATCTTTGTTATGTGAACCAATGGATAATGTTACAGCTCTCCTCTCTATTTTTAATCTGTTGTTAACTTAAATTTGATGTCACCTTTATACAATAGATAAGAAAATACTGGGCTAATAAAGAACAGAAGTGGCAAGAAATGGAAATGAGAGATCTCCAGCGTCTGGAAGAACTGAAGAAATTAATGGCTGAGCAGTCAGTGAAAGACAGAGAAAGGTAAAATACCCATTGAGAATTGTGTGATAATGGAGGTGGTAATAAAATCTCCTGTAATATGTTAGAATAAACAATATCAGAGACAGCATTTTTATATCTAATGTACCTATTCAATATTTATATTCACAAGTGGATAAAATGATATCTATCATGTATTTTAAACTCTCATTTTTATGCATAAACCTCTAGTTTTCCATTTTGTTCCTTAACTAGCTTCCTAGTTAAACCTCACAGAGGACCTGACAGTATTTGATTGCCCGCCGTGTGCAGGAAATGGTTCTGGCAGCTGCTGTGCCTTAATATTTTGATCCAGAAGGGGGAAATCATTATTCTAATAGGAAGGAAAACCATTTACTATGACTGGGAATGGAGAAGACAATGAACAATTATAAAGTGCTGTTTGGTATTCATAATATATTTATTCACCACATATATAAAAATTTGTCTAGAATCTCCCATAAATATGTAACTTGAGAGTTGGAAAGGGCATTTGAGATTACCTAGCCCAGTCTCTTCATTTTAATATGAGTATACTGAGATATTAAAACTATTTTCTGGGCTGGAAATGTGGCTCAATGATAGAGTGCTTGCCTGGTATGCACAAAGCCCTGGGTTCTATTCCTCAGAACCACATAAACAGAAAAAGCCACAAGTGGTGCTGTAGCTCAAGTGGTGGAGTGCTAGCCTTGAACAAAAGAAACTCAGGGACAATGTCCAGGCCCTCAGTTCAAGCCCCAGGACTGGCAAAATAAGTAAATAAATAAATAAAAATTATTTTCTATGATTACTGTGTCAATCAGAGTCTATCAGAAAATAGTAACAGTATAGCAAATATGAATATGAAAAGTATAACACGAAGAACCATCATAAACTCTAACAAGAATCTTTGTTACATAAAAAAAATATATATATAGGTAGGCTGGATGTCACTCATGCCTGAAATCCTAGTTACTCAGGAGACTGAGATCTGAAAATTAAAGTCACAGTTCAAAGCCAGTCCAGGCAGAAAAGTCCATTAGACTCCTATCTCCAATTAACCAGTGAAAGCCAGAAGTGGGATTGTGGTTGAGCACCAGCCCTGGGTAAGAATACTAAAAATGCATGAGGAGCTGAGTTCAAAAATATGAACAAGCAAAAAATGAGAAATATAAAGAACAGTGGAGAACAGTAGAAAATTCTGAGGAGAGTTTCAATAGAAGAAGCACATTTGTAACTGGGGACTCTCTTTCATGATACGGATTCAGACCACATTGTAGACATTACAGTTAATATCCATGGCACGTGGAGAGAGTCATGGGTGGGCCAACCGGATTTCATCAACACCCATCCAGCAGGAAGAACCCATCTGGGTTTTGCCTAGGCACTCTGGAAGCTGATTACTGGGAAGCCTGCAAGACTCAAAAGAAAAATCTGATGGTGATGGTATCTCTAAATTTGACGAGAAGATGATTAGGGTGGCTGTGAGGACGCCAGGAGTGAAGCAACTCCGGATGTAAACGACCTGTGTGACAGGAACAACCGGAGGTCAGGAAGGGAAGTTCTCTCCTTTTGCAGCATCCTTCCAGCACCCTCTTCTAAGAGCCTGGGGATTCAGCTCCATTTTCACACGGCAGACGACGATCAATGGGCTTGGAGCAGAGAGACAGTAAATTGATATCAGGCAGAGTTATCTAGTGTAACTAGATCCTTAGTCATCTTTTTACAAGAGGTAAATTAAAGAGAGATCTTTCCTTTTGTAACACAAATCTCAGCAAGTTTCCTTCCAAGAGTGAAGTTAGTGATTACCTTAGTCACCTTAAAAAAAAAAGGCAGAACTCAATCCTGTCCACTTAATTTTCCTGTCAACCTCATGTTACTCTGAGAAATAAAGCCTATTAAATTTGCTCCTCAGAGTGTGTATGTAATATATATATATGTATCTCTGTATATATATATATATATAGAGAGAGAGAGAGAGAGAGAGAGAGAGAGAGAGAGAAAGAAAGAAAGATGCATATATGTATATATGTGTGTGTGTGTGTCTATATATGTCACGTTGGAAGACATATGTATTTTATGCAATGAGGTTTGCTGATATCTAGGAAGTTTCCTCTGTGAACAGTTATCTCAAAGTCTACTTAGCAAGACTGCAGAGTGAGTCTAGAGGTACAAACAGATGCTAGGTACTTCTGAGGATTCTCTGGATAAAATGCCTATCACTTGCCAATCAGCTCAGTACTTTAGAGTTATGTAAATCTCTTACTGAGAGACCCAAGAAATACAGTAAAGCTGGGATTCTAGGTTAAGAGGTCAAGCAACCAAGGGGAAACCAGAAACACAAGTATAAATCAAGATAACAAGTAAATAGCAGAAAAATGGGCCACAATGTGATTCAAAAAATAAGGAAGTAGACAACAATTGCCAAACAACAAAATACTTAAGACAAAGTTAGTGGTCAAAGGACTAGTTAAACAGCTAACGACTTTTTTAAGGTAAGAGTAAAGAGGCCCAGAAATTGAGAAGGGCTGGAAGGAAAGAGAACAGATGTGGAGTCCCAGCATTAGCAGACATGCTTCTAATAGAATCATCCCACATAGCAGGGAGCTTCTTTACTACACAATCATTTCAGACTTTTGCTTCCTGTCCCAGTAATTATCAAGATTAGCTGATTCAGAACTTCAGTTGAAAAGAAGGAAAAGAAAATAAGATTAATCCACATTACATAACAGGAGAAAAATAGCCACACTATAACACAACAAGAAGGATGAAGGAGTAGGAGCCATGGAGCAGGGTTTTATTCTTTACTGCTCTGTGAATCATGTATGACCTTGGGAAAATCATTTAACTTTTGCAAGGAAGCATCATTTTCTTTCTACTTAATGTTTCAAACATTTTACATAAAATACATAATAATGAAGATATTCTTATAAAAATTAAGGCATTCAAGTTAAAGCAAGTTGTCAAGCTCAGCACATATAAAACCCATGATCCTACTGTATTAGTCAGCTAGGGCTGCCATAAGTGAACAGCATACTTTAAGTGGTTTAGACAACTGAAATTTCTTTTCTCATAGTTCTGGGGCTTCTTTGCCAGCAATGGGCAGTCTTCTCAGTGAGTCCTCAGAGAATGGGAGACAGCAAGTCCTCTGCTGTCTTAGAAGGCACTACTCACCTCAAGAGGGTCCACCCTTTACAAAGACCTCATCTCCTAAGATATTCAGGGTGGAAGGTATGAATGTATGAATTTTTTTTAGTACTACTGGTGTTTGAACTCAGAGCCTTGCACTTAATCAGCTGATACTCTACCACTTGAGCTATACTTCCAGGCCAACTTTTTGCTGTTTGTTTTAGAAATGGAATTCAGTGAACTTTTCTGCCCTGGCTGACCACAAACCTCGCGGCCTCCAGAGTAGCTACAATTACAACTACTACCAGTACTCAGCTCAATATATAATTTGTTTTATGGAAGAGGGGCATATTCAGTTCAACCCTTTGTGTTAAAAAAGTATATATATATATATATATATATATATATATATATATATATATATATATATATACCTGTTGCCCACAATCTGCTACTTAATGGTTGCTGCTAGCCTAGAATGTCTTTGTGCCAATTAGAAAGATGTCCCCTTCTAGCATTAGAGTGCACAGAAATTAAAGAAAGTTAAAATAAACCAACCAAACCATGGCTTGGCAAGCAGAGACAGCACTGGACATCCTGACCCATTTATAACCTGGGTCAGGAACCATTTTAGTAAAGCACAAACTTCAGAATGATATATAGTATTACTGAAAATAGATCTACCTAATTCTTTTGAGAGAGCATATATTATTCATAACTCTTCTGAAAATTAGCTCTGTAGCCATCTGGAATTTATTTTTATGAATGATGTGAGCTAAATGTCTAACTTCTATTTTTTTCCTAAATGGATGACCAACGATCGCAGTACCAATTACTTAATGATTCATCCTTATACATTGATTTTGAAATGCCACCTTTATTGTATATTACATTTTGAGTTTTACTTTTAGATTCACATGGACTTTTGATTAAACTGGGAAAAAAACTCATCTAGGCCAAGTATGGTGACATACTCCTGCAATCCCAGCTACTTGGAAGGTGGTAACAGAAGAAAGATTAGCCCAGATAATGTTATCTGAAAAATAACAATACAAAAATGGCTGGTAAATTATGTAGGATTCTATTAATGATGTTCAGACACAGAAAGATTAAAAGAGATACTCTTAGGAGAGAAACACAAAAGCTCAATGCCTACATGCCTCTTTTATGTTTATTTAAAACAACATATGTATGTATATATGTGTATATATATACATATATATATATATATTGAAACAAACCCCAAGATATGGAAATAAGATCTCTTTTTTAATTTTAATTTTTTCATGATTCTATCTTCTTTTCTTTATGCATGGTATATCCATGTGTATATCCTCAGGAAAGTGAAGGGCAGGTGCAGGAGAAAAGGGTGAAAAAGTACAGCTCGGCTCACTGGACACTGATAAAAGTGAATTGTACAACTTGTAAGAGGAGATGGGAGGGAGGGACCAGGAGAGAGTGAGGGAAGGGAAGACACTGAATGAAAGGAAATGTTCTTATTATCTGACTCATGTAATTGAAATCCCTCTGTACATCACCTTTAAAATGATAAAATAAATAATAACTTTTAAAAGGAATTGGTGATATGGCTCAAGTGATAGAACACTTGCCTAGCAAATGTGAGATTCTGAGCCCTGAGTACTGAGAAAAATAAACATGTATAGTGCTATTTCTACATGGATCCATGGTACTCACTCATTGTTCTTTTTGAAAATATTCTTGTGTCATTTGTAACTTAAAAATTCTGTTGACTTTGTACTGAAATGAAGTGTGCTGGCGTTTATCTCAAATCTAGTATCCAATCTAGGTCTTTGCTTCCAGTAGCTGTCTACTTCCAGGTTGCTCTGAAGTCCTTTGGAAAGGTTCATAGATTTTTTTTTTCTGGTGAATGTTAA